ACGGCAATTTATTATTTATTCGTTCGTTCAGCTTTCCAAGATATTCGAGAATAAATTACAAACTCTTATCCTATGCCCTTTCAACTCCTCATTATTTAATATACGATATTACCTTGAATGTTGACATTTTAATAATCAATGAATTTCTCATTTGATTTTTCCAAAAAGCTTCTTTTTCTTCCGAGCAGAATTATAAGTTTTTTAAAATATTTATCTCATATTAACTTTATGAGAATATTAAATGGGTACGTTCTTCTTGGCTCAAATTTCATTTTGACAACAAAATCAATAAATATATCAAAGCTTATTATATGCATTTAACGCAAATAATATAATACAAAATTCATAAAGTCTAATCTCTCCATAAAAGCTTTTAAATGTCTTTATAATTCATTTATTATTCTTACGTAATAAATGATTCTATTAAGACTACACTTTCATTTCATAATTAATTATGAGCTTGAAACTATTGTGAAAAATCAAAGTCCACGCACTGTTGTCCAACAATAATAAATATTTCTATTAAAAGCCTAATATACCTTTTATTCGGCAATTATTTAATAATCGATTCAATTTGACATTTTTACCAATTTAACATTAATTATCGTAATTTATACAATACCATGCGTATTAATAACTGAGATAATTAATTCTATACGAAGATTTTTTTTGTAAACATATTTTAAAAAACCGTTGATTATTTCTTAAACAAAATCCAAATTTTATAGATATAAGAATTATTTATTTATTGTTTTTGCTGCAATAACAACATATGTACAACGCTGTTGAGTTAATATGAAAAATTATGAAAATTTTTTATTCGATAACTAGAAAGTAGAACATCGCGCATGCTCATTACATTATAGATATGAATTTCAAACGTAATTTTCTAAATAATTTTCTTTTTTTACCTATTTTTTCTTTTTTTGCGCTGCTACTTTTACGATGGACTTGAAATTAAGTCAAATCGATTTGACACGACTGAAAATATGCAGAATACATGTAACTATTCAGTGAAGTTCTGATAAAGCTGTATAGATTCAGGTAATTTCATAAAAAAAAAAAAAAAAAAAAAAAAAAAAAAATTTTTTTAATGTCGTGAATTTTTAAAAAAACTATATTATCGTTATTTCATTATTGCCAAAAAAGAAAGAAACATCGATTATTGTGTACTAATTTTATAATAATCATTTTTTTACTCTGTAAACACGTATTAACGGATGATAGGGCTATATGTGATATTTACAAATCATTTTTGTATTTTGGAAAATAAGAAACATAGTATACATATTTAACGTTTAATGATTTTTGCCATTTTTCAATATATTTGATCTTAATAAGGATTAGTTGGCTAAGACAGTGTTTCGATATATGGTCAAATGTATTATTTTCTAGCCGTGAAAAACTACTTCTCGTTCACTAAAAATAGAACGGCGTTCAAACAAAAATTGCATTCTATAACATGAAAATCCGAGTAAGTTTAATATCGAATCCAAAAACGGATATTCATTATATTTATGCTTATTTTTTTTTTTTTTTTATGTAATATGCCATTAATTAGATATGGGAATGAGAGGAAGTATGTGTACTTAAATTAAAGTCGGAATTTAATGTAGAAGTTGGGACTCGACGGCAAACGCAAACTAGGAGGAACTTCATACGAGTCAGCGAAAACTTAAGAAATTTATAGAATACGAAGACATTTATAAATATGAAAAAATACATTCGAACAATGGTTGTTTTTTAATTTTTCAATTCAATTATTATCAACGTAATTTAAATGCTCGTCAATTAATTATATTTCTTTTAATAATAAATATCACATTGCAATTTGACATAAATCTCTAACCTTCTCGCATATTTTGCTTTGACCTAAATATTTTAAATAATCCATGTGCATTATAACAATTCAGTATTTATTTTGAAGTATATAATTATGTAATTATTAATGCAATTTTTCATATATTTTCGAATACGTGGAAGCGTTATTTAATGCAAAAATACAAATTATGTAAATTTGTATAGTTGAATCATCTCCAACAAACTTTTTTCAGCACACTTCTATTCTTTCACGTCCTAAATATTATAAAGTAATATTACATTAGGCAATAATTCATTATATAATTTTGTTTTCTATATCTTAGCTAAATTTTAGCTAAACAAATTCATGTGTTCAAATATTTCAAATAAAAAGAACACAGACGCACGCACACGCACACGCGCGCACGCGCACGCACTTCGAGTAAAGTGAAGTAGAATAAACAATAACGATTACTAAAACATTAATTTAATAATCTAATACGATGTAATGACCAAATACACCAAACACACGTGCAAGTCAAATTTACTTATTAATCACCGAGTCTTCGTTTATTGCGCAATTTTAATGTCTTTCAACACAATTTAATTTAAATATACCAATTATCTTATAATAAAAGTAATCGTCTACCAATTTATTGACACGCGCTTCTAATTTACGTCCGATTGATAAAAGTACTAATTGCTGGTACCTGCTTCGGCCAAAAGATGGTAAGACAAATGTTCTTATCTTTTTACTAGCGAACTCGTATTTATAATGATATCTACACGACAATTGATCCTAATCTGTTTAATCACCGTATACTTCTTACTCATTATCAATACTATGATATTATTTTTTATTAATCAGTCATGTTTTTTGTTATATAAAATGGAATTTTATGTTCTAACGACAAAGCTTCACACTTCTGCGCTGTATTTTAATTTAGGATGGAATTCAAGACTTATTGCCAATTTGAAAACCACATGACAAAAGCTTTTAAATCATTGCCATTACTAGTCGAATGTGGACTGAATATTTTTAGAAAGTAAATATTTTCTAAAAATTGTGTATATCTTACATCGCCTGTGTGCGCCCATGTACGTATCACGATAATTCGTGAGATTGATTTTAATTATAATAATGTTCTGTTAATTTGTTATAAGTAAAATTAAAAATTAAGAATCGTTTTAATTAATTTATTAAGAATTAATTTATTAAACGCACATGAAGTTGAAATATTGCATTTCGAAAATACTTCATTCTAATCCGACGAGTCTCCGTTATGGAAGTCACAACATTAATACGACAAACTCTCGATTCATTAATTACCTATTCTAACTTAAAGTTCAATACAATTACGCTCATCTCATCTATTTCTGTATGAATAATTATATTACAATTTGATAAACAATATACCTGTTGAATTAAATGTCCTTTAAACACTTTTGGCTACCATTAATTATTAATGATGTATTCGTGTAAAATTATGTTTCACTGAGTATATCGAAAATCGTCAACAATGTATGCAAAATACTGATTATAAATTTTATAAGATAAAATAATTGAAAAGTATTTGTAATAATATGGAAATAATCATGCTCATTAAATTTATACTCAATTCGCCATTTTTTGAATAATACTTTTATTTATTGTCAACATATTTTAATTACATATGTACGTAACGACTAGATCACTTATTCTAAATATGCATCGACGTGTCAACTGTCACATCAGCACTTAAATTAGCTTTATTAAAAATCATGTATTACAAATACCGATACGATAATAAAAATTCTAAATATTAATAATTTTCATACGCAGTACATTCATAATATTGGATTTTTGTTTTCCCTTTTTTTCTTTAAAGAAAAAAAAATCTAATTAGGAATAACAAAAAAAAACAAAACGAAACAAAACAAAAAAAAATCAAGTGCTACGTTAATGTATTAATTGCATACTTTGTGATAAAAGGCTTATAAATTATTAATGTTATAACAGAAATAAATGATAGAAAACAAAAAGAAAAATATCTTTGTAAATTCATGGTTTTTTTATATGAAATATTTACTTTGTTTTGTTTATTTTTTTGTTTTTTTTTTTTGTTTTTTGTTCTTCCTTTGTTTCCCTATCGAAATGTAGTTGCGAAGTAAAATTTCATTCCATGTGATCTCATGCAAGTTACCTCACATACTGTCAAGATACTCGCATGCGACAAGTGCATGTATACTTCACGTACACTTATACGCGGGAATATCGCATGGCTGGCATGTTAGTACGTGTAGAAATGCTAATAATTTTTTAAATAATTCAGCCACGCAAGTTTCCCGGATAATATTGCTTATGGCATATGAAAGTTGAATAAACGATTGATATTTGGTGAAAGCGATCATTACGTTGGAATAATAAATTTAATCGAAATAATGGACGGGACATGTTGCTCAACGACAATTTCTTACGAGATGATAAAAATAGTTGCATTTACCATACGTACAATGCGAGTCGACGTCGACGGTGCAAATGATGATATTGCAGATTCGAAAGAACCGACGACGAATATTATTATTAAACAATCTATAATCTATGTACAATAACAGTCAATGGATCGTACGTTATTGTTGGATAAGAATTTAAGTGACAAGCTTAACAACATTATATTTTCAAAATTAATATGGCTTACTACTTTGACAAATTTTTCATTATTATTTGTGAAAGATCGGAGTGGGATTTTATCGTTTGTTTGTTTGTTTGTTTTGATTTTTATTTTAATCACTCGACGTAAATGACTTTCGTGCACTATAAGAGAAAGGTATTGAATCGTAATCATTATTGATAGAATTATCGAATTAATGCTCACCAACAGAGTCGCTCAGTCATGTGCAAAGCATTGTGATCTGAATTTCTGAAAATGATAAGATTGCGCTTTTCTCGGTGTTGTAATAACGATGGTTCGAGACTCGATTAATATTAATCGAAAGTGATCTGTTGTAAATGGAGGTAAACGGAAGTTTTTTCTCACTTGCTACATCAACAATCGAATATTGTCGAATGCCAAGCAATGGTTTTCGATCTCTCCACCCGCCCCCTACCACCACACCACCCCCCAATCACCGCCCTGCGATACCGTGACCTACCTATTTCATATAAGTACGTACGAGTTTCGTCAAACAATCACAATAAAATGCTGGGAATTCTGTTTTAGGGGCTCGCAGAACAACCTGCACTGCGTCTGCAACGGGGCTACGGCGGCGAACGGGAACGCGGGTACCGTCTGCAGCAGTGGTGTGCTCGCGCGGAAGGTGCCCAATCACAGCGGAGCGAGTCCAGGACAGCCGTATAAGAAGCCCGCGGTCTCGCTCACTCATTTGCCAAAGAGGCCGCCCGTCGACATAGAGTTTAAGAATCTCGCCTACAGCGTTTCCGAGGGCAGACAGAGAGGTGAGATGCACACGGTCCAGAGTCCAGATTCTATCCCGCGTAGGGGATCGCCCAATGCCCTCGCGAATACTCGCCTATAACGTTTGCCCCGGAAATTTTCTCGCTACCACAGTCCTATTAGCGCCAGGATCATCGAGCGCGAGCTTGATACTTTTTACCATCCGATTGCGCCCATTAATTGGTCCACCTGTAGAAACGTGATGCTGTTGCGCCAACAAGACGAGTGGCCAGTTACATGGGACAGTTTCCATACAGAATTTGAAAGAGGCTATTTTTCCCTCCCAATAAGATCATCCCACTCCGCTGACTTCCGAGTCGTACAAATAAATTCCAATTCCATGATGAGTCGGCAATTTGAAATGACCCGTCTTTATAAAGTCATTGTCCGAGTCGCAATAAAATGCATCCTCGTCGTTGCTGGCTGCTAATGGTCATTGAGACGACGCGGATGATAAGGGATGATAAGGAGGTTCCCTGCCTCCCGGTAAATCGGGCTATAAGCCAAAGTGCGATGGGCGGGAGGCGTAAGCGATGCGACGACTCGATCGGGGGTATACGTCCGGCACCCACGACGAACCCAGCTAATGACAAGATGGAGGCGCGCGGCTGCAGGTCGGCCTCGGGTGGGCCGCGGTCGCGATGCCGTTGCACCGGCAGCCCCGAGGGACGCGAGTGAACGACCCTCGCGCGCAAAAGAATCGATAGAAATGTTCGCGCCCCTCTACCAGCCCGACGGGCCTTCAAGTGCAACGAGGACGCGTACGCAGGTGCCTCTGGGTACAGGCGCACCTGTAGGTGATGGGCCGACCCACTACCGGATGAACGGCTGGGGCTAGAGGGGAGGCCGCATGCGCATCGAGCGAAGAGATGTCGCTCGTGGAGGCGGCGGGACCGTCCAAGGAGCTCGGTTATCGAGGTCTTCTTTCCTCGCCTCCCAACGCAATCACGAGTACCGCCACCACCGTAACCACCCCCGACCCACCTCCTGGCCCGCGGCTATGTCGATACAAGGTTTATCGAGCAGTGACAGACCGGATGCTCTCCCGGTCGATGATCGATGACCAATGGCTTCGGCCGATGAACTCGCCCTCGCGTTGACCACGCGTCCCTCGTTCCTCGGCCCCTCGAATCTCCATTCCCCCGATCACTTCTCTAAGAGGATGAAAATTCGTCTCGCTTTTATTCCTTCCTTCCTTCCTTGCTTCCTTCCTTCCTTCCTTCCTTCCTTCCTTCCTTCCTTCCTTCCTTCCTTCCTTCCTTCCTTCCTTCCTTCCTTCCTTCCTTCCTTCCTTCCTTCCTTCCTTCCTTCCTTCCTTCCTTCCTTCCTTCCTTCCTTCCTTCCTTCCTTCCTTCCTTCCTTCCTTCCTTCCTTCCTTCCTTCCTTCCTTCCTTCCTTCCTTCCTTCCTTCCTTCCTTCCTTCCTTCCTTCCTTCCTTCCTTCCTTCCTTCCTTCCTTCCTTCCTTCCTTCCTTCCTTCCTTCCTTCCTTCCTTCCTTCCTTCCTTCCTTCCTTCCTTCCTTCCTTCCTTCCTTCCTTCCTTCCTTCCTTCCTTCCTTCCTTCCTTCCTTCCTTCCTTCCTTCCTTCCTTCCTTCCTTCCTTCCTTCCTTCCTTCCTTCCTTCCTTCCTTCCTTCCTTCCTTCCTTCCTTCCTTCCTTCCTTCCTTCCTTCCTTCCTTCCTTCCTTCCTTCCTTCCTTCCTTCCTTCCTTCCTTCCTTCCTTCCTTCCTTCCTTCCTTCCTTCCTTCCTTCCTTCCTTCCTTCCTTCCTACCTTCCTTCCTGCCTCCCTTCGTTTTTATTCTATTTATGTATTATTATTTGGTTGTCGATGTCATCGTCGTCGTCGTCGTCGTCGTCGTCGTCGTCATCCTTGTTATCGCTGTGAAAATAATGCTTATAATAATATGGAATTTACAAATTATAAGCAAAGTTTCTTATGAAAGAACATGAAATAAAATAAGTATTGTACAATTGTACAATTTAATCTTAATACCCGTGTTGTAACGGAAATGACGAGCTTTTTGGTTCAAGCGTTGACCCCAATCGGTTGTGCTCCCACACTCGCAATCACTGCGTTATCTAGGCATGTTTTAAAAAAAAAACCGATGTAAATATTACACACACACACACACACACACACACACGCACACCCGATCAAATGACGCGAAACGTATTATTATTAATTATAAGAATTATCGATCTGTGTGCATCGTATGCCGGATATCGCGTATAGCCTAGTCAAGCAAGAAAAAAAAAAGAAAAGAAAAAAGGTAAATAAAAATTAATTAAGAAACTCAAATAAATAAGTAATTTCGTCGCTGAAGCTCAATGAGAAATGAAGTAAAAATCTTATCGGACCATAATCTAGCTTACCTTATAAATTCATACGCAATTAACTGTTCTATTAAAAGTGGAAATGTGGAAATTTAAGATTGTTCTTATGATTCAAGCTCGGAACTAAAATTTTCAAGCTTAATTTACAAATTTCACTAATTTCAATTATATAATATAACGTTTATCGCTCTTCGTTCATTCTAATTATTAATGAAAATTTAGCAATTTGTAAAAAAATTTATATTTAATAAAATAGTAATTAAGCTTTTAAAAATAAGAATAAAAATTACCACACATTGTAAAGTTCCGTATGCTAACGCTCACCGTCACAGGATGAATAATTTTTATAAATTATTAACTTAAAAAAAACACAGAACAAAACAATTATTTAGTAATTATGTGAAATGACTGAATTATAAATTCACGAATTCACATATGTGTGTGTGCGGGGGGGGGTGTAAAATGAATAACACAAATATTATTGCAATTTTTCATGGGAGATGCTTTTATAATTTAGTGTTCTTGAAAAATTATCCACTAAGAAAGGTAAAATGTTGAATCCATTCGATACTTATCAGCATAAATGATTATTGACAAACGAGAACGTTAATATTCATTGGAGTTTTCTCATTTATAGCAAAGCCAACATATCGGTTTACTCTTATAAATAAATACAAAAAACAAAAAAAAATTTTAACAAAACAAATTGATTATAGACATAATTATAGTATAAAAATTTTTATTCCATCGACGAAAATTGTATCGTCCTTTTATAATATGCAGTAAGTGTAGTAATGAAGATTGCGTAATGGGTGAGTAATCTTGTTCACGAAGCCTCGAAAATTTTGAATGACCTAGACGATTGTGCGAGCGGCTCGGAATGTTAAAAATAAAGAGCCAATGTATGCTCGACCAGTCAATAAATTCGATTCTTTATACTAAGTACTCCAGACTCTCACTCACACCCTCCTCCCCCGCCTCTCTTATTTATCCCCACACACTCGCATCCCCTTTCGCTATCATTCACTCCCTTTCTCATTATATTCCATCGCCGTTGCCCTCTGCTCCCTTACTCACCCCCTCTCATCGCCTCTCCTCTCCTCTCCTGACCACTCCCCGACACCGATCGGCGAGATAATCTTCCTACAATTCTGGCTTCTCGTTTCAGGCTACAAGACTATATTGAAGTGCGTGCAAGGAAAATTCAGATCCGGAGAGCTGACTGCCATAATGGGCCCTTCCGGTGCGGGGAAAAGCACGCTCATGAATGTTCTCGCTGGTTACAAGTAATTATACGCCGGCATTTTTATTGTTTTTGCTATTATGGCAATTAGAGGCTTGATCGAAGTGCATTTTGGATCGTGTCGTCACCATTGCATTGGACGAGTGATATTATCCATTGGAATTTAAGGCTTGGATTGCCATGTTTTATTGGCCTAATTACGTGCATCGGTCATGATAATGTGAACAATTGAAGGAAAAGTCGGACAATTCTTTTTGCCTTTATGAACTTTGTTGCATTGGGAGCTTATTCGCTGCATCGTACGAGCTACGTGAAACGCGGGATCGTTAAATAAATACAAACAGTCGGGGAAGAAAGGGAATAATAATTAATTAAAATAAACAATATGCTCACGTTTATCTTACGATATAATTGATTTGACGTATTATTGGACGTGCCAGTAAGCGCTTTATAAATAGTCATATTTATATTATTAAAGGCCTTAAAGGCAACTGTGATCTTACCGATTAAATTACAATGCAATTACAATGAATGAGAAAAATCACTTTCTAAAATCCATTTGCAATACTTGAATATAAAAAGAAAAATTACTTGTAAAAATAAAAAATCAAAAAATGGAGGATACTCACGAACAATAATAAACATATGAATATTAACATTCATTTAATTCGGATTCATTTGATCCTTATTTTTAATGATTCATCGATGTTCTCTGAAGCCATAAAATGAATAATTGTATTTACGATTAATTTACATGAAATGGCATTATAATTTTAATACTGAGTTCACTCAACTCTTCTCTTAGTGCATCTATATAAATAATAATAATAATAATAATAATAATAATAAAAACTAAATAAATAAACGATAATAATATAGAATTAAAAAAAGAAAAATGAAAACTTATGTTATTATAATACATATATTTGGAAAGTGCCATTTAAAAAATCTGTATATAGATTTTTGTATATACTATAAATCAAATTAAATTCCATTCCATTTGTGTAAGAGTCTGAGTCTGTATGTAGAAGAGGCGCAATGCGACATTTACATTTTTGAGAAGATTAAATAGAATTCCAAAATTATATTAAAATATAAGAATTTTATAAGATTTCTAATAATATTTTGCGACATAAAATTATTTCGTCATTAATAACAAATTCAGATATACAAGTTGTACGATATTTTTCCTTATTTATTCAACTTTTCTATTACAGTAAACAAAAAATGCGTAAAATTCATAAATATTGCGCTCATGAGTATAATTATAAAATAATTATTATTTTAAGATTTGTGTCGAGTCATACCAAGTTATCAATGTAAAGTATATTAATAATTTCATTCGTTAGATGTATAAACGGATTGATATATTGAAATTCAATCGAAAAGTTTCACTTTAGTTCACTTTAGTGATGCTGACGCTCACACGATATTTTAAGCAAAAATTATAATATTATAAAATTATTATGAGATAATTATTTAAAAGAAACATTTTGATTTTTAGAATAGGTAAATTATGCTAATATATATATATATATATATATATATATATATATAGAGAGAGAGAGAGAGAGAGAGAGAGAGAATTTGAAACACCGATGTAGTTTCAATTTATATTTCCGCGTATGACAAATATTTTTAAATATACCATCATGGAAATAATTCTTATAAGAGTATTAAAATCTTCATATTTTATCTTGAAAAAACTATTTTCTGCACTTTGTTCAAATTGATAAGAGATCGATCGATCCGATACATTAAATAAAGCAAATTTATATCAACATCTCTAATAAACAGCAAATATTTTCAATGCGTTTACGCTGTAATAACGACATTTGATCGTAAAGTAAATCAACGATTACGATATCAATGAAATTCGAAGAAATGAATTTCGAATTTAATTGCTACTCTGGCCATTTTCGCTTGTCGAAAAAAAAATAGTTTATTTTTGTTTTTGTTTTGTTATTGTTTTTATTATGAACGATCCATCCACGATTTGATTAATAAAAAAAAAAAAAAAAATAAAGAGAAAAACCAACAAAAGGTTGAATTTCACCTTCCAATACCATTTTTGAATTAAACTCGGTGGTAAAAAGACACCCAACTCGTCGAATATCATTCGTATTATTCGCTTAACTTGGATCGAATACCTTTCGACACACGAGGAGTTCCGGGAACCACTTGTAAAACCATCGTCGCGATGCCATGAGCCGCCTCTCTTCCATTTCCATTTCCATTCTCCGATATTTCGCGCTTTTATCGCGCCTTCTTTATCTCTAAGAATAAGGGTACGGTTCAACGGCTCTGGGACCAATTCCACTCGACACGAGTATCGCCAATTGGCAAAGCGCGAACCTTTTCCAACTCCTTCCACAATCTTCCATTCGATGTTCAATGCTCGTCCCGGAGCCCTTTTCTCGAAATGTCGCGACTTGCCTCCTCCTCCTCCCCCCTCCCCCCTCCCCCCATAAATGCATCTCCACGCTAGCGATTTTCCATGATCCTTGGGATATAAATGACCGCGCGACCTTCTGATCTACTTTTCGCTCTCGCTGGCACGTTCAATCTCACTCTTCGCTCGAGCGTGAAATTTCCTTACGAGTTACTGTCAAATTACTTTCTTTGGTCATTAGACGTTGTTACTCTTCCTTAACTCGGGCCTACTTCATGCGCCCGATTCTTTAAACGATAATGCAATAAGTTTATTATTATAATTGAATAAGAAAGCGCAAATTGCAGTTTATTTAAACAATATGAGGTAGAGGAATTTTTTGGCAGCGAATATGTATGGAAATAGCGTTTATAGCTGTATTGATTTAATAGGTAAATCGATCGAGGCGTCAATCATCGAGATTTGGTGAAATTTATTACTTTCTTTCTCGGCCGTAAATGTATTTGTGTAAAATAACTTGACCTGATTCTATAATAATTATTTCTATCTATCTCTCTCTCTCTCTCTCTCTATATATATATATATATATATATATAGTGTGTTTAATTATGTTCGGTGTAAGGCAATTCAATTTAATATATATTTTCAATGTATGCCCTATAATTTTTACAAGGACATGTTACTGTCGAATTAGGCAACGTATATCTACAGCCAATGCAACGACTTTCTTCGACGTAATAATTGTTAACGCGTTTATCTAACCCTTTCGCTTGAAAGTTGAAAGTAACGAGCATCGTTTACATTATTCAGGACGTCCAACCTCAGTGGCTCGGTTTTAATAAATGGAAAGGACAGAAATCTACGAAGATTTCGTAAAATGTCCTGCTACATTATGCAGGACGATCGTCTTTTGCCGCATTTGACCGTTTACGAAGCAATGACGGTCTCGGCGAATCTCAAGCTTGGCAAAGACATAAGTGCTGCAGCAAAAAAAGTTGTGGTAAGTTTTAGAAATTTAAGAACCAAATGCACTATTTCCCAATTACTTCAACATTAACTTATAATTTTAACGTAAATTATTACAATTCGTCATTTGTCTTTAATAAAGACGCGAGTCCATATAAAACACTTAAGTGATAAGAGAGTTAATAATTAATACTTTTTACCATTTTTTAAGTGTTTTGAAGAATTTATATTATATTTCATGCACATTCAAACACATTCAATGTACAAAGTAAATTTAAAGTCGTGTTTTGAAAGTTGCGAGCTTTATTATTTAAAATACTGCTAAGATACTTGATGTCATTAAATATTATGATTCGAATGCACAAAGTAATCGAGCAAATAAATCAACAAGAGTTTGTATTTTGCTAATTGTATAAATTAATGCTGAACTCACTCCCTTCAAGTAAATTTTAAATTACTTACGTAGCAGATCTTTCTTTTCAAGTATATATATATATATATATATATATATATTTTTTTTTTTATACAATTTTGTTTTACGCTTATAAATAACTTTTGAGCTTTTCTGTCGCGAAAACGCACTTTCTAAAAAGATGATTCATTAATCGATATCGATTGAATAATCAAGAGATAATTCGTCATAATAAACAATTCAATTATCAACTGGATAACGAATAATATTTATCACGAATTCAATTTGACGCACATAATAAGTGTTTGATGATGGTAAATCTTAATATAATCATAGCAATGTCTTGTCGTATGCAATAGTTATTCGTCATTCGACGTTTAATGGTATTTGCTAAGCGATTGGATAAACGAAAGTGAAAAGTGTCGCCTCGAAATATTTGAATTCGCAAAGATATTGCACAGCATCGACGACACTTCTTAAGCTCATTGTGGCTGACGAGCGATTACCACCTGTAATATTTGATTCACAGATCGAAGAAATCATCGAAACGCTCGGCCTAAGTGACGCAAGTAATACACAAACCCATTGTCTTAGCGGTGGCCAAAGAAAGAGATTATCGATAGCTTTGGAGCTGGTGAACAATCCACCGGTCATGTTCTTCGATGAGCCGACATCCGGTCTCGACAGCTCATCCTGTTTCCAATGTCTCAACTTACTTAAGTCGTTAAGTAGGGGAGGTAGGTCGTGGATTAATTTTGTACGACCCTATTTTATTTGACCCGCATGTCTAATATTACAAAGGAGCTTCGTGAATTATGAGAAAATCGTCATTTCTGTCGTATGATTATTTGCGTTTCGAAATATAGCGCGCGGAATAAAAGCAATTAGATCGATGTAAATGGAACATTAATAAGCCGTCACGAAGCAGGAAAAGAAAATTATTCTTATTTTTCTGTTGTTGCTGCTTTTTTTTTTCTTTTTATGTAGCCATTACTTGCCCCACTGCATAATACTAAATACATAGCAGGTAATGTTTATGCCAATATTTTGGAATTTCAATTATCATTGATGTTTCTTATGATTGTGATTAACTATAGGGGCGTATCCTATTATTATTATATCATAATTCTTCCAAGAGTATTAAGGAAAACTTTTGCTCACAAGAGTATACGCGAATGATAGCTCGGGTTTATCAAAGGATATAGCACGAAAATCATTTAAACGCAGTTTATTCCGTATATGGTAAAACCCTTCGGTAAAATTCTATAATCGAGGACAATCGATTGAACTGGCTTAACTAACTTAATTCCTTCATAATCACACAGGAAGAACAATCATTTGCACGATTCATCAGCCAAGCGCAAGATTGTTCGAGATGTTCGATCACCTGTACATTTTAGCGGAAGGTCAGTGCATCTATCAAGGGAATGTGGGTGGACTCGTACCATTTCTCTCATCGATGTGCCTCGACTGCCCAGGTTATCACAATCCTGCCGATTACGGTAAAATAAAACAATACATTTTACGATTTTAACTATTACTATCTCGACAGGAGTAATAACAGAAGAAAAGACCAGAATTTAATTATTATTAATTTTTTTTTTTTTTTTTTTTTTTTTTCAAAGCCATCCGCATTAATTATATCGATGTGTAATGGGCATTACTATTAAATATTATTATAATATACTTTCGTTAGGCAATGTAAGCAATTACTGGCAATACTAAGTCTTGTGAGAAAAAATAAGGAAGAAAAAAAAACACTAACAATCATTGAGCATAAGCAAGAAAGGATAGATAATATTCGATGATTTGCCAATTAAATCAATATCATTTCTAATCTATAATAGCTAATATTCTCTCTCTCTCTCTCTCTCTCTCTCTCTCTCTCTCTCTATTCTTTTTTCATTTTCTACTTATACTGTTGAATTGAATTGAAACGGCAAGTTTATTTAACGTTCCTTATCTTCAATTAAAGTTGAATAAAATTACTCGATTAATTATATATTAACGATTGATAAAGCGGTTCTTCGTCAAAACAGTAAAACGTCTATGAATTGTAAATTATGCGCGCGCGCATACACACACATACATTACAGCTGTTTAATATATAAGATTTTCAAAGTTGTTAAAAGTGCCAGGATTATGGCTTATAATTTCTCAAATCTCAAAATAAGCATGAATTGCGTTATTGGACTGAGAAAGTACGATATAATATTATAAAAGAAATATAAATGAAAATGTTCCTACATTATTCTGATAATTTGCAACGATAACAGCGACAGCAAATATATATCTGGCCGTGTATAATCCTAAATTATTACGTACCTTGAATGAAATTATGCAAATACTTTTTATCACTTGATTTCTAATTTTTACTTTTTTTTTTCTTCTTCCTCCATTGTGTGTCATTGTAAGGGCGTAGAATGAACAACAACGCGCGCGATTATAATATCGATGATTTTCTCATTTTCTCTACTCTACTATTTTTCAAACATCTTGGCCCAGTCGCATATTGCATTTCACCGCACTTTCATGGGAATTCCGTAATAATTATGGATCTTTGTCCTTGTCACTTATTTGGGAACGGGAGCACAGTGTAATAACGCCGATGGAATTTAATCGTTAAAGGACGAATGGACGAGGCGAATATACCAATGAATTAAAGGCACGTACGCCGTAGAGATAATCGAGTTTCCCGCGCTAACGGGCAGTGAAAATACGGTGGAGCATTTTGCCAATACGATATGAAAGATAAGTCATCGATCGCCCTTTAATCATCCATCATCTATCAATCATCTGCCCAACCACGTCATACAAATGTTCTAAAAGTTCATAGGAGACGCGCTCGAGTTTTATCGCCCCTACTAAGGCGAAGAGGGTCCCCGGACGTTTAAGAAATGGGCCGACCGTGATCGTCAATCCCCGATTTCGCACTAACGATCCGGGCCCCGACAATTCGCCCCTCGTTCTTATCGTTAACAATGCCCGCCAAGTGAATTGAGCGAGCCGCTTTGTCGTTATTTGCGCAGTGATGGAGGTCGCATGCGGCGAGCACGGCGAGTGCGTGCACAAGCTCGTCTGCGCGGTGAACAATGGCAAGTGCAACAATTACCAGCACCACCAAGCGACCCTCGTGGCCGCGCAGACCGTCTCTAACGACATCGCGAAGCAGTCGCCGCCCCAGGAGCAGCAGTCCAAGCCCCCGGAGATGACGGTCCTTATGACGAACGGCGTGGCCAAGCCGACAGCCGCCGGCGGCAACGGGGCCACCGTCCTCAGCATGCCCGTATCCTGCACGACTTCGCTCCTCGACAGCGCCGAGAGCATCGAGCAGAAGGTCGGCTTCCCCACCAACGGCTGGATACAGTTTTGGATATTGCTCAAGAGGACCTTCCTCTCGCAAATCCGGGATATGGTAAGTGGCGTGATGATGCGCGAACCGGCGATTGGATCCCGGACCCACCTCCTTCCCCTTGATCCTTCGACGGACATTTGCGAGCCTTCGCGCCGTCTATTCGCCACTTGATTCGCGTTTTAGGATCGCGCGAGTCCGCCGCGTTAGCACCATTCTCACTTAATTGTCACCTTAACGCAACATCACAATTTCATTGCGGGCCGCTCGATTTCAGCAATTAAATATTGTGAATTCGCTCGGTCTCAAAAGACCTGACATATCGATCGATTTCGATCTATTGTCCTCGTTTCGAGAAGTTTTCTATTCTATCTTTCCGTCCATTTTATTTCGGCCACCGAATAGATGCAAAAAAAAAAAAAAAAAAAAAAAAAAAAAAAAAAAAAACCATCAACAACAAACAAAAGGAACAAAATATCACGAGGATCATCGCGATGAAAAAATTATTGCTTGTTGTAATATGTCGCGTAACATGATATATTTCATAATACTATGAAGAATGGATTATTATCACGAGCAAACACATTCGTAACTTAACTTAATGACGATATATTATTGGCTTTATATCCGGATACTCAAACTTGTACAACCCACACAACCTACGGACAACCGAATGATATTGTAGGTACAGCCAAATTTATGTAAAAGTAACGATGATTTCAAGTCTTGAAAAAATATTGATAAAGGCATTTTTATATGAATGTGATGGAATTGGACATATTGGAAAGAATGTACGGACGAGTCCTTAGAATATCCTTTAGAAATTGATGATTTATATGAAAATGCTATTGGAAATGTTGTAGTGTAGCTGTAATTTGTTTTTGTTTGTTGCCACAATGTCCTTAAGAGCCCGTGGATTTATTTTAAAAAGAGGCTTTATTATTTCAGACATTGACGAGGGTAAGGCTGATTTCACACATTATAGTGGGTTTTCTTATTGGTGCGATTTACTACGACATTGGCAACGATGCCTCAAAGGCCATGAGCAACGCTGGTTGTGTGTTTTTTACCGTCATGTTCATCATGTTCACCGCCATGATGCCGACTATTCTCACTTGTAAGCATCATGCACACGGGGGCGATTACCCTCTACCACCTCCAACCAACCATCAGTTAATATAAGAATTTTAATCTTGCAGTTCCAGTCGAAATGGCCGTTTTCGTGAGAGAACATTTGAATTATTGGTATTCCCTTAAGGCGTTTTATTTGGCCAGAACCTTAGCTGACATACCCTTTCAGGTGAGCAATGACCGACGCTTGGCTCACCCGCACAATTTCACCACACAGACTATAACTCCCACCTCCCCCAAATTATTTCTATTTTTTCCATTACAGATTGTCTATTCGATAGCTTACGTTATAATAGTTTATTTCATGACGTCACAGCCATTGGAAACCGACAGGTTTCTCATGTATCTCAACATATGCATTTTGACATCGTTAGTGGCCCAATCGATCGGTTTGCTGATCGGCGCAGCAATGAGTGTCGAGGTACGATAAAACTTGACGAAAGCCATCACCGGCTTTATTAATTTAAATCAAGGATAAGAGATATTATTCGCAGTCGTTTTACTTAAGACATTGCACGAACATATCAATTACGCTACTATCCATTATCCACATTAATATCTTATCCCCCCCCCCCCCCCCCCCCCCCAAAGCCCCGCCACGCCCCCCT